TTCATTCATTCATTCATTCATTCATTCATTCATTCATTCATTCATTCAATTTATATAGCCGCCCATCTCAGACCAGTGACTCTGGGTAGCTAACAATAATAAAAACAAACAAAACAGTACAGAAAATTAAATATAAATATAGCCAAGAGGTCTTTAAAAACTGTCGGTGTCAGCACAACCATGAAACGGAGCCCTTCGCATACTTGGGGCCCCAGGTCTGGGCATAAAGCCAGGCCTTCAAGGCCTTCCAAAAAGCCAAAAGGGTCGGGGCCATCCTAATCTCAGGAGGGAGAATGTTTCATTGTTTTTGACTTTGCAGCATGTTGCCCAAATATGCTTCTTCTGATGATTTATTTGTGGCAGCTTTTTAGTGGTGACAACCAAAAGCAGTTTTAGTTCTAAGGGGTACTAGTACTAGTTTATGGAGCATAGCAGTGGGGGGGGGAAAAAAGCTGTTGGCAAGAGTTCAACTGGTAATCCCTACCCCACCTATATACTGAAGAAAGCTAAAATATAATTTGGATGATTAACACAGTTAATGAGTGGTTACAAATTCATACTGATATAATCGCATAGGTAAATGTCCAAATTAGTATTACAATCACAGCAACTGGTATGCCTATTAATGTATGACAAGGCTATATAATCAATGTAATGTTCTTTCGGTATGTTGCATTTTAGCAATTGTTGTTTGGCTTTAATTTTCACAAGATGAAAGTTACATGACATGCTAGGCATCCAGGCTAGTGATAGGCAAGTTGATGTCCTCCAGAGGTTTTGGCTTCAACGTGGCCACTAGCAAGGGAATGTGGGAGTTGTAATCTCAAGCCTCTGGAGGGCACATAGTAGTCTCTTCTAAGAGTTAATTCAGTATGTAAAATCATAAGATCTGGATATATATTATTCTAGTGGGAGATTGTGGCTTTTGCCCTCTTTGGTGTTTAGCTAATGTTAATCAAGGGTCTCTCTACCCTGAGCTTACAGTGAATTGTGAATTCTGGTTAGCATTAGCAATTGTTTTGCTGAAGGCCATGCAGAATAGATATTAGAAAAGTGAGGGTAGCTGAGCTCTCAAGATCAACACTGCTTTTTTGTCCTTTTCACCATAAGAGAGACGCTAATGGCTAGTGAACCTCCTGGATGTTTCAGAGGTAATTTATCTTTGTAGGAAAGATGGCTTGTGTAGCGCTTCATTTGTCAATTCCTCAAGCTTGAGAAGACATTTGTCTTTCAGTGCAAACCCTCCATTCTGAACTTGTTCATTACATTCTGCTGAAAGCAGATAAAAACCACAGAGTTCAAAAATTACCTGAGATGTGAAAGATCAGAGAAGAGGAACAAGCAAAGTTCTCCATATTACCTTTTTGTGATTTCTGGCATTGCTAAAATTTTGGAATACATAGCTTGTTGCAGATCCTTTTCCTGTGTCTCAGCGGTACAAATGCCAGAGAAAATAGGAAGTTGCCTTATATTAAGGTAGACCATTCACCCATTTCATTCAGCCTAAACTCTGCTAATAGTGACACTTTTCTCAGACAGAAGTTTTTTCCCAGCCCAACCCAGAGAAGAGGGGAACTGAACCTGGGCCCATTTGTATACAAAGCATGTATTTTTAAATCAAGATACAATTCCGTGATTTAATCCACATGAATGACTGGAACATTCTTTGGGTATATCACTTTAATTATGTACATTTATCCTGCTTAAGTGAGCCTTGAGAATCAGATGGAGCTGTTCATAACCGTATTTAAGTTTGCCTTATCCTTCTGCATTAAAAGAGAAATTTGATGAAACTAAACTGGGCTTTTCAACCCCACCCAGAATGTCTTTGTCACAAATGTTCACAAACACCTCACCCTACCACCTACAGAAGTTCCATTTTAATTATAAATATGCAAAGCAGTAGGGCTAGTCTTACACATCCTTGTTGGTCAGGTTGGGTTCCTGCAAAGTTGAATCAAGAATCAGTTCTCATTGTAGTTCAGAAATCATTGCCATACAAATAAGGCAGCATATTGATATTTTCTAAAATATGCTGCTAGAATATCTTTATATTGCCAAGTTGGATTTTGCTACAGAAGAGGGCAGTGTGCTTTGGTGATCTCTCAATTCTTGCTAATTGAAGGAAATAGAATGGGTGAATTTATTTGGGCAGCTCATGATAATCCAGTGCTTATATTTATGTGAGATGGGCGGCTATATAAGTACAATAAATAAATAAATTCAGATTTCTAATTTAATAGGAGGCAACAGAAGCAAAAAAAGTTTCCAAAAATGAGACGCTCTTGAGGAAGTTTAGTATATAAACCCATTTTACTATAGCATGAAGATTAAATGTATTAGTTTAGATCCAAATCTGTCTTATCAAGATCATGACTACTCTCTAGTGGAAACTCCTACTCTGAGGAGATTTTTGTCAGTTTCTTCTGGCATCTTCCAGTCATTGTTTTAGATGACATTCGGGAAAGTTCCCTTATTCTTCTGAACATGAATAAAGAAACAGGTGAAAACTACTTCTTCCCCTTTCCCATTTGGGGAGCAGAACAGATACAAGTGGATATATACATATTTATTTCACTTTACTATTTCTCTTAAATTGGAGATTGGAATATAAGTGCTTTAATTATAATATGATTCCTACTTCCCCTGTAAGAAACATAGCGCTTTTAATTCTAAATTCTAGTGTGCAGAATTTTAAAAATTGCCAGTGTTAATATGTGAAAGTAAATAAGTTTATATTATGATTTAGTTTAGCTGTTCATGAAAGATACTAATGAGATCCTTTAAAATATTTTTGCTGTTGATAACAGGAAACCTTGATAAGCATGTGGAGTTAGAAAATATGGTAGCACAATTCCTTGGCGTTGAAGCAGCTCTGGCATTTGGCATGGGATTTGCTACAAATTCTATGAATATTCCAGCATTGGTAGGGAAGGTGAGTGAACATCTTTTGGAATAAATTTGTTTTGATAATCTCCCAGGAAATTTAAGATCATTGTAAAGGTGTCTCATTTCTTTTAGAAGGAAAGACAAATGGTGGTAATCTTTAGCAAGGGTATTGTCAGGTTCAGCCCAAAGAACTCCACGAGACAGTACAGGTCTAGTTCGATAGCTTTTATTAGCTTTCACCCATAAGACAGAATCTCGCCAGACTGAATCTAAACTTCCCAAGCCAGCAAGCAGACACCGCGAATTCCTTAGGGTGGTGCCAGTCTCATCCTCTTAACCTTCCCACGCTCCTGCTGGGGGCTAAGGAGATGCTTATCTCCCTGAGCGCGGCCTTCACCTAACCATTCCATCACAGGTATCATAAATTATAATCAGATCTGTACAAGTAATGCTGTCCTTAATGTTCAAAAATTGTATAGAAATATATATTTCCTATTTATTTTACTTCTCCACATATTTTGCATAAACCTTAGTTGATTTAATAATTTATTTAACTTTTGCCTCTGGCTTTGCTCTGATGAAGGAGCACACATTAGGAGAACCACCAAGAATTTTTCTCCTACTTAAATAATGCTGAACTAAATTCAATTATACAACAGCAGACTAATTTCATTTGGACGGTGTTCAAGAGAGGTTTCTGTTATTTAACATAAATGCAACCATTGGTATATTATAAGCATTTCTAATTACACACAAAGTAGAATAGTTTTGTCAGACTACTTATTTGCTTCCATGGAGAATCTGGATGACTATTCTAGGAATCAGGGTGTTTGAAAATGGACCAGAGATCTGATCTACTCTTAATTTCTCATTGATGAGGTAGTATTCTGGACAATAACTGTAACTTATAATAGTGATGATATGTGTAGTTGTTAAAAAAAATTATAATGCCTATAATTCAATCAAGAGAACTGTGTTAAAGTCTTCATTTTCTAAACAAAATCTACGTGTTTCTTTGTCTATGGTTGCTAAAATTATTTTTGTAAGTCTGTTTAGGATTGTATAATTAGGAAAATTTCAAACTACACTACTTGAATTTGCATGGGTTCATTCAGAGGCATTCACACAATCCTATGATTTCATCAGAATGACTAAGCAAGGATTATGACACTGCAACATTCATGTTGTCATTCATCCCTGTCCCCTACCCTGTTGATGCCTCTGGTTTCCCCTTAAGTCCACAAAAACAGAAGATACATTTACTGAGTCTTCTTTGTTATTCCTGTCAAAAAGAAACTAATTTATGTTAAGAAATAGTACATTCTTAGTAGTCCACTGCTGCAAATCAGTTATAGATTTATCTTTTTAGTGTTGTACTGTTGTTGTTTTTTTACTACTCCTGTGCATGAGGAATCCATCATTCTTGATGCCTTGATAAATTCCAAATGCACGAATATAGCCAAAAAGAAAATATGGGTCTTTAATAAGTACTGATCACTCCAAAGATATCTTACACATTTCATACCAAAATATGACTGTGGCAGAAGAAACCTGAAACACATTAGTGAATGTTCTTAAATTGTTTCTAATTAATACAGATTTCATCCACGTCCTTCAACTTCTTTTATGAAAATAGGCTTTTGGTTTTGGAGCCTCAGTTAACTCTTCTCAGACCTTTAACAAATACAGAATTTTAGAAGCAACAGTAACAGTGTCAGGACAAAGAGAACTTATGTTATTAACATAGTTGGTACAGGAACTTTAACTTAAATGGGAAAAAATCTGAATTCTCTATTAACTCCTTTTCAGGTACTAAAATAAATCACTCCTTCATATTTACCAGTTTTACCAAAACAATCTCTAAAATAGTAAATATTACAGTAATATAAGGATATAGTGGAGAGGTGACATTACTAACAACTACCCACATCAATATGTCAGAATCTGTCATTAGTTAGTAGGCTACAGAATACTTATCAGCTAAAAAACCTTGGCTTTCGGGGGAGGAATTGGCGGACTGAAAACGTCTCTGCGAAAGCGAGCCGATGACTGTGGCGAAGAATGAATAGCTGGTGAATAGACCAGCCCTCCAGAACCTCTCCAACAAGGAGATGATCAGAGATGACCCACATGTGCTCCAGACAGTTTTCAAACCCAGTGTGGGTTTGAGCACTGGGATACAATGGGAATAGCCATCTTGCTCGCAACCACGGTCGGTGCCTTTTAAAGGACACTTACATTCACTAACCTCATTTGCTAATCACTTTCAGAAATTGCTCATTAACTATTTCTAAGCTATTAGAGACCTTCGGAACGACAAGTTTGAAAACACCAGGTGAGATTGCCTTCAATCCTGAATGAAAGAAAATTTTAATCATAAGCTTAAGAATTTAAAGAATCTGAAATAAACAGCAAGAAACTAAATAAGATTTTGATCTTAGAAAGTTATAAATGGACTAAGGAACCAGATAAATTTGGAATATTGAAACTTTTACAATAAGATTTTGGATTTAATTATAAAGAACAAACAGCTTCTTATGGGAAATAATCTGTTTTGGTTTTTGGAAGACATGACAGATAAGTAATTTCATGATTTAAAAACTGGACACTAGAGGAGACTAAAGATTTTTGGTAGAGGACAAAAAATACAAGCCTATAAAATGCAAAATGTTATAACAGTGAAAATACTGAAGGAGACTTTTGAAGAATGGAGTCAGAAATTAGAAGCCACAATATCAACAATGTCAGTAATGATGACATAGATATTCTATGGATAGAATATGTCCAAAAGATGTTATTGAAGAAATGACATATGTAGAACAAATTTTATCTGAGAAGATAGAGGTGGTATCAAAAGTGAATTTACAACTGACGGACAAAGAGAATGACTTGGAAAAGGATGTCTCACTGGCTCTACAAAAGAAATTGGCTGATGTTTTAAAATTCAAAATGATAAGCCAAGAGAGTGACCTGGACAATTCTTTCCTATTGGATTTGTAAAAGAGGCTTATCAAAGCTTTGTGTGATGGGACAAAGAAGAAATGAAGAGAAATCCTACAACAATATTTAAAGGAACTAAAGTTAAGACTGTTAGAAGTAAAATGAAGGAATATAAAGTTGGTTTAT